CTGAGGTGGAGGATTGCTTGAGCCCAGGAAAGTCGAGGCTGCAGAGAGCTGTGATCACACCACTGCACTTCAGCCTGGGAAACAGAGTGAGTCCCTGTTTGTTTGTTTTTTAAGTGGTGGCTCATGTCTGTAATCTTAGCACGTTGGGAGACCAAGGTGGGAGGATCACTTTAGCACTTGAGCCCAGGAGTTCAAGACTAGCCTGGGTGACATAGCAAGACCTTGTCTCAAAAAAAAAAAAAAAAAAAAAAAAAAAAAAAAAAGGTATAAGAAAACATAAAAGAACAAAACAGGCTTGGCACAGTGGCTCACACCTGTAATTACAGCACTTTGTGAGTCTGAGGTGGGCGGACTGCTTGAGCCCAGATGTTTGAGACCAGTCTGGGCCACATGGTGAAACCCCATCTCTACAAAAAAACACAAAAATTAGAGGGTATGGTGGCTCACACCTGTAATCCCAGCACTTTGGGAGACTGAGGCGGGTGGATCACAAGGTCAGGAGATCGAGACCATCCTAGCTAACATGGTGAAACCCCGTCTATACAAAAATACAAAAATTAGATGGGGGTGGTGACGCGCACCTATAGTCTCAGCTACCTGGGAGGCTGAAATGGGAGAATCACCTGAGCCCAGGGAGGTCAAGGCTTCAGTAAGTTGTGATCGTGCCATAGCACTTAAAGCCGCAATGAGATATGGTTCACACCCACTTCAATGAACGAAGTTTAAAAAGACTGACGACATCAAGTGTTGACGGTTGACGAGGATGTGGAGAAACAGGAACCCCCCTACAATGCAAGTGGGAATGCAAGATGGTCCTGTCACCCTGCAAAACACTGGACCCAGTGATCCATGCATGAGAAGTGAAACACATCCACACAGCTGAGCCCTGAAGGTGAGTGTTCACAGCAGCTTTACCATTGTAGCTTCCAAAATGGAAACACCCAAATCTCTACCACCTGATGAATGAATAAACAAATCATGGCGTGTCCATTCAGCAGAGAACTAGGCAGCATTGAAAAGGTGCAAAGTATGGATTGATGCAGTAACAAGGATGATTCTATCAGAAAGGCATTATGCTAAGTGGCAAGAGCCAGACCATATGCCGTGTGATTCCATTTACATCGATTCCAGAACGGGCAGCGCCATGACAACAGGGGCAGGTTGGTGGTGGCTGGGGGCAGCGCAGTGGCTGATGGGCGGCACGTTTGGGAGTCTTGGGGTGATGAAAATATTCTAGGTCCTAATGGTGGCAGCCACACCACTGCAGACCTCACGTCAACTGTCAAACTGCCTGTTTGGAGTAGGGGAGCACTGCTTCCACATCCGGTCATAAGCACTGTGGCTCTGGGTGTGGACGGCAGACAACTTCTTAAAGAAACTCCAAGTCCAAGTCCAAGTCCGACCAGGGAATACTTCGGTCACGACGTTACCCTGGCAAGTGTAATTTCAGTCAAACCCTGAGAAATAAATTGGGCCTTTTGTGGTCTGGACTCAATCTAAGCATGGCTAAGAACAGACTCATTAAAGCCCTGTTCCCGTAACCTGTAAAAATACCTTCTATTCACGCGTCCTGCTCTCCTGCCGAACACAAACCTGGGCTTAAGGTTTTATGCGAATTAATGTAGTGCTCAGGGTCAATAAATGCCAATTTCATTCCCTTAGGGTCAGTGTGCCACAGACTACACACTTCCTACAGCTCTCCCGTTTCAGTCGTCATTGCTGAAGTTTATATGGAACAGACACACCTACGACTTTGGAAAGCTACCTTTAATATGCACTACATAGACCAGGCGTCCCCAAACTACGGCCCGTGGGCCGCATGCGGCCCCCTGAGCCCATTTATCCGCCCCCCCGCCGCACTTCGGGAAGGGGCACCTCTTTCATTGGTGGTCAGTGAGAGGAGCACAGTATGTGGCGGCCCTCCAACGGTCTGAGGGACAGTGGACTGGTCCCCTGTGTAAAAAGTTTGGGGATGCCTGACATAGACTGTGTAGTGAAGCACATATGCAGACAGGTCCCGGGCTTATGATGGTTGGACCTATGCTTTTTCAACTTCACACTAAGGTGAAAGCCATACACGTTCACTTGAAACCGTATTTCAAGCACTTAGACAAGGCGTCCCCAAACATTTTACACAGGGGACCAGTTCACTGTCCCTCAGACCGTTGGAGGGCCGCCACATACTGTGCTCCTCTCACTGACCACCAATGAAAGAGGTGCCCCTTCCTGAAGTGCGGCGGGGGGCCAGATAAATGGCCTCAGGGGGCCGTATGAGGCCTGCGGGCCGTAGTTTGGGGACGCCTGGCTTAGACAGACTGGTTTCACTTTCAGTATTCAATAAATCACATGAGACCTTCAACACTTCATTGTCAAATAGGCTCTGTGTTACATGATTTTGTCTGACTATAGGCTGGTGTTGAGTGTTGTGGGTTTTTTTGTTTTCTTTTGAGACAGGGTCTCACTCCATCACTCAGGCTGCAGTGCAGTGGCATGATCATGGCTCTCATTGCGGGCTCCAACTCCCAGGCACAAGCAATCCTCCCACCTCAGCCTCCCGAATAGCTGTGATTACAGGTGTGCGCCACCATACCCAGCTAATTTTCATTTTTTTTGTAGACATGGGGTTTCGCTATGTTGTCCTAGCTGGTCTTGAACTCCTGGCCTCAAGTGATCCTCCTACTTTGGCCTCCCAAAGTGTTGGCATGACAGGCATGAGCCAGCGTGCCCAGCCTGGTGCGAGTGTTCCAAGCACGGTTAAGGAAGGTGAGGCTGGGCTATGACATGTGGTGGGGTGGGTGTATTAAATGCATTTTCCAGTTAAGGTATTTTCAAGGATGGGTTTACTGGGACATAACCCTGATGCAAGATGAGGAGCATCTGTGTTTGTCATCCTAAATTATCTAAAATCTATACAAGTCTCATGTAATAAATAATCAAACAATGAGATGTACTAAGCTGCACAGAAATTGAGACTCATCATCTGTCAAGCACGAAAATTCCAAGGTGTTGTGTAAGTGCTAGGGTTTTTAAAGCCATGAAACACAGTATCTGCCACAGAGAAAATCGGGGAAAACTGTTCCTAATGTCTCTATCACATCAACTTACTTCTCAGGAATCAGAGCTTCTAAATTTTGTATTTGTCATAAACCACAATTCACTGTCCAGAAACTGAATGATGACACCCAATTCGTAATTCCAACCGCCTTAGCTTTGCTATAACAATGCTTTCATAATCACCTTGGTGCCAAGTCCTCACACACTGAAGGGCCAATATAAATGTTTAGGAAAATTAGTTGCTACCCAACTTCTCCCTGGCTAGGGTCTAGCCGTAAAGGTGGTCCTTCAGTTCCGCAAATACATCCAGGTCTCCCTCCCTCGGCCTCCAGATGTGAGGCCCAAGAGCCCTCGCCCTGCTCTCCATAAAGGCCTTCCCACACCAGCCCAGCCCGTTTTCTTCCCTCGCTGGTCCCGTCACTTTCTTTCTCCAAGCGCCCCATACCCCCACCACGGAGATAAGTCCCCCAGCCCACAGACGTGGGTCCTGTCCACCCTCTGTGCCTTTGGATATGATGGGCACCCAAGGAGCAGGAGCTGAATAAATGCAGAGTGACAAACACAGAGGAGAGAACCGAAGCACGACCTGCACCTTGTCCCCTGTGCCCGATTCCCCAACTCTCCAGAAAAGAGTCCTTCAACCGTGTCTGCGCCCCGGGTCCTCTGGCCATCTCACGAAGCCTTTCAGAACAGGTTTTAAAGATGAAAACATACGCAGAATTGCAAAGGGAAAAGCGCGCTGAGATACAGCAAAGCACTGGGAAAGGAAGATGAGTGCTTTTTCATTAATTCGCCAAGTGACCAGATCGAGGGGTGGGCGCAGTACCTCCTGTGATCTGTGACAATGAGCATCAGCTCCCACTGCAGGGTGACAGGAAATCCGCGCTCCTCGGAGCAGACACCAGCGGGGCTGCCCCACACACAACGGAAGAAAACACTACAGTTTCGCTGGAGTCAGATCCGTGCACATGACCAAGGCGTCCGCACCACAGTGAGGCTGAGTGAGACCTCACGGTACAAGAAACACTTTATGATGTCTGTAGCAACAAACAAGCCTAAAACACCCAAAATAACAAGATTTAAAAATATTTTACAGTGCAGTATGTGGAATTCTCGAATAAAACTGATGCTTCTAAATTGTTTGCCTTTCACCCAGACAGCTTATATGGCTAAGGGTTTAGAAAATGACAGATTTTAAAACTTCGTTAGGCCGTAAGGAAAACTAAACATTCCAGCAAAACTTTTGGGCCCAAGACATCCCCAGTGGGGACTCCCCGCGGGGCCCACCATGTTGCCCAGTCATCTGGAAGGAACATCAGGTGCTGCATGTGCGAGGCCTGGTCACGCCCACCCGCACGTGTCTCAGTGAGTTTCCGTGCTTTTGGAAATGCCTGTCACTGAACCATCTAATGTCCACAATAACCTTGGATTCGAGCCAACAGCAACACGGAGAAGAAGATAGCATCTTCCAGCATCTCCCACGGCCAGGCACCGTTCGAAGCATGTCTGGGACCCTCTGAGGGCTGGTGTGTGATCACACTCACTTTACACACAAGGAATCAGAGTGCAGCACAGAATTTACTTTCACGACACAGCCAGTGACTCTCAGCTCATGGTTCACTGTGACCTGGCAGGGACGGCGGGAGAGAGGGGCCCCAGCCAAGAGCCAGTACTTATCAGTGCCAATTCTGCCCCAGATGCTCAGCTACCACTCTGCCAAAACTGTAATTCAACGTCCACATCTGAGGAGCACTCCTCCCCAAACCCAGCTGAAAACAGGAGGAGAAAACCACCATCAGAGCAGGCTGAAGGGAAAGGAGACAAAGACTCCTGTGCCCAGGGCTCTCCAGGACATGCCATCCTACTCCTCAGGAGGGTCAGAGCCACGCCCAGTCCACAGGTGCTCCGCTCAGAGTTCACGGCGCGCAGACAGGGAGGAGACTTACCAATCTGCAACAGTATGGGTGTGACCAGAGCTGTTTCCATGGCGTAACAGAACTCCCTGCCAAACATCACCGCCCCGTGCATCACCCACAGGCGCATGGGGATTCGGTCTATGGACCCCTCGCTGATGGTCTCACAGTTCTCGGCCTCTGCATCTCCGGCTTTCTGCGGGTCTGGCAGGGGCACGGATAACTCTTGAACTTGCATAGATTCTGAGTCGGCATTCTGCGGAGCCATTTTCATTACCACCAAAAAATATATATTTCTCTATATATTCTATCTATATAAATAATGCTTTCATAGATCTGTAATGATAAATTAAGACGTCTTCTCTTTCTGCTTCGGTTGTGTTCCTTGGGCAAGCAACACTCACATTCCTCTTTGCACAAGTGGGTATCTCACAACTTCTTACAATGGTATGAGACATGCAGCAACACAGAACGATTTTTGGTTGGATTTTAAACATATGGCTTGCTGGTTTACTGTGAATTAGAGTTAAAAATCCATAAATGCCATTCAGTTAATACCAGTTTCATCATTATTACTGAAGAGGTGCTGAAGTGACTTTTCTTGCTACAGAGAGGTGGGAAGGTGGTACAAACAGGTGGTCCGCTGGTAATCCCCATCGAGTGACCGGATGATCTGCAAAAGAGGAAAACAACCCAGCCGGAGAGTCAGGGGGTGGCCGCCACATGGCCCCGCGGACCCGTGGACCACCGCCCGACCCCCGAGCAAGCCGCATGCCCCAAGGGTCTGACCCAAGATCACACACCTCTCTGCTGCTTACTCTGGGTGCATCTGTGCAAATAACAGAACCTACGTTCTAGAAAAACATTTTCTCAAATGAAAGTGAATCCTGGGGAAGGATAAAGGTGGGGCAATCAAGAAAAGCAGGACCAAAGAGAAGACAGAGAGAAACGCTAAAATATTCACTCTTTGGCCAGTAACAGTTTCACCCACCCTGTGAACCACAGCACATAACTATTCCAGAAGGCTGGCGGTGGCTGGTGACGCCCTTCATGGCTGCAGATATCGTTGAGAGGGAAGTAAGGAGGTGAAAGGGAAAGTGGTGGAGGTAGACAAAGAGAATCAAAAGGGGAAACTTTTGTTTAAAAAGTTTGACTGTTAGAGACAGGGTCTCACTCTGTTGCCCAGGCTGGACTGCGGTCAGACGACCACGGCTCTCTGCAGCCTCAAATTCCTGGGCTCAAGTGATCTCCTACCTCATCCTTCCGAGTAGCTGGGACTACAGGCGTGCTCCACCACACCCAGATAATTTTTCTATTCTTTGTAGAGACAGGGTCGCCAGTATATTACCTAGGCTGGTATCCAACTTGCAGGCTCAAGTGATCTCCCCTGCCTCGGCCTCCCAAAGCACTGGGATTACAAGTGTGAGCCACTGTGCCCAGCCAAAAAGAAAACTTCATACCCTGCCTGGAGAGTGGAAAAGAAAAATAAAAAGTAGGCAGGGCGCAGTGGCTCATGCCTGTAATCCCAGCACTTTGTGAGGCTGAGGCTGGTGGATCACCTGAGGTCAGGAGTTCTAGACCTGCTTGGGCAACTTCGTCTCTACTAAAAATTCAAAAATTACCCAGGCCTGGTGATGGGTGCCTGTAATCTCAGCTACTTCGGAGGCTGAGGCAGGAGAATTCCTTGAACCTAGGAGGTGGAGGTTGTAGTAAGCCAAGATCGTACAACTGCACTCTAGCCTGGGTGACAGAGTAAGACCCTGTTTAAAAAAAAAAAAAAAAAAAAAAAAAAAAAAAAAAAAAAAAGAGAAATGAAAAGTAGGGCACTGGGTGGAATGAGGATAACATGATTCTCTGTCCAGCGGGGAGTCTGAAATCTATCCAAAGGTGCCTGGACTCCTGTGGTGAGCCTGTCAAGGGCAGTGGTCTCAGCCTTTAGGTTATAAAATGAAAGTTATAGACCTTCTCTCCAGAAAAAAAAAGGAAGCATGTGCCAAACTCTGACTATGGTATCTAAGGGTTCGGACACTCCCAACCCACCCACAGCTTTCCTAGGGGCTATGGAACCCTATCACCCCAACCCACGGGTTTCCAGCACCCTGGCTCCAGTGACTGACCCAGCTTGGTGACAAATTCTCCATAAAGCAGAAACAAGCTAACTGGAAATGCTGTCTTGGAAATGTTTTAGGAAATGAGGTCGATCTCCCCAGGTAAGATAAAATTGGGCACGTGAACAGCCCAAGTTCAGAACTTCTAGAGCTGGGTCTCCAGACACTGGGTTCAGTTCAACTGAAGTACTAGAAAGAGGCCCTGAAAACATACTAAATGGTGTTCACAGTTTATGTTGAGGTAGGTCTGCAGGCCAATAGCTTACTGAGAATTATTCTAACAACTGGTTTCAATAAAGATTTCTCACGGCTTTCCACCGATCCAAAGGTGGTCTTGATTAGCTCCTCCTCTCTTTCTCCCCAGGGGGGACCCAAAACCTCGAGGTGCTGTCTTCACTTGGCTCCTCCCTCGTGCAGCCCTGACGGAGAAGGTGGGTCCCCGGCGCATGGGCCCCAGGAGGGAGACGGCTCCACTGGGCCAGAAGTTCCTGCAGGAAGGCCTGCGCTTGGCTCTTCCGTCCGGCTCTTTCCTCCATCTTTCACACCTCAGTGGAAACGCAAATGCCTAATTCCGCAGGAACCAAAGATTCAAGTGGTGCCACTTACGTATTTGCTTCTTACGTCCCCTGGACTTCACTACAATCCCATACAACAGCCCTTGAGAATTCTTTCAAATTTACCAAATGTTCTCTACCATGGAAACATCAAGTCTCCAAACTTCACCTAACTGCAGTATTTTTTCTAAACACTGTGCAATGGAACTATTTCTAGCATATGCAAAGTAAGCAGGATAGCACAAGAAACCACCCAAGTTTAACGAGGACCGACATTCTGCTATTTTCGGCCCGCCCCCACCTTTTCAGAATCCTTTCTAACAGAGCATGTCATGATTTTCCTTGTTTCCAGTCTGTCAATCTTGCACCAGAATAGGGTCAATGACTGTCACTGCTTTCTTCTACCAGTTAAGAGGAGTCCTTCTTATGAGAAGAACGTACATCCAGACACGTCTGCAAAGCCTGAACAGATCAGCTGGGGTTTGGGCAGGAACAAAAGCAATTAGTTTTCTAAGAAATCCTAATGACTTAATTAGAAACATCAGACCCTTCAGTCTGCTCAGTCAGCCCTTTGTCCCTCTGCTGTGTCTTTGGAGACTTGAGCCTGAAGTGAAGCAGTCTCTGTTCCTAGAGTCCCTTCGGTAAGAGCTGAGAGTGGGGCCATAAACGGCTGTAACAAGTCATGTATGAATTACTCTAATGTAGCAGTTGCCAACCAGGGGCAATGCTGCACCCTTGAGGGACATGTGGCAATGACTTGACACATCTCTGATTGCGACAACCAGGGGAGGAGGGGACACCACTGGCGTCTTGGAGTGGAGGCCAGGGATACCGCTCAACCACAGCGCACAGAACAGCTCCAGCAGAGAAGGCCCCGGCCCGGAACGTCCACAGCCCACAGGGGAGACACTGTTCTAGGGTTATTATTACTAAACAGAAAAAAGGCTTTCTTTAAACGTGCTTCAACCCTTGATCAGTACATTCTGAATCAATCAACTAGACAGACACTGAAAGCCTTCTCTGCAAAGCTGGATGAGGGACATTTCAGGCACAGACAGTCTCTGTGGCACAGTCTCTTTTTTTCTTTTTCAACAATCCTTTAAAAACACAACATTCTTAGCTTGCTGGTCATTCTTTTAATCCCGACTCTGAGCAGGATCTGGCCCCCAGGTCACAGTTGGCTGCTCTCCAGCCTGCCCTAGGGTCAGGAAGTCGCTGAATCTCTCTGATTAACAGGAAAGCAGGCCGAGGTGGGGACCCACTCAGCTCCTGCACTCTCCCAGCCTCTTTCTGCGCCGTGCCACTTCAACTGTCCAGTCCTGACTTAAAGCGACAGGCTCACACGTGCCGAGATGACCCGAGGTCAGGAGTGTAGGCAGCAATCTGCAGGCCATGCCTTTCCCGGGCAGCTCAGGTGTGCCCCAGCCAGTGGTATTTCTCAGCACCATGTTTGCAAAGAGCAGGCTGGGTAAGAATCACTGATGAGCCATACAGAAAAGCCCCAGGCAACCATCGCTGCCTCCCCCTCACAGTGTAGACTCCAGTCACGGGGCCTCAGGGACGGCTACCAAAAGGTCTTAGGAATCAGCTAAAGATTCATTTGGCCTGGACGGTCAGATCCATCTCTACAGAAACTTTTTTCAAAGATTAGCATGGTGGTGCACACCTGTAATCCCAGCTACCCCAGAGGCTGAGGCAGGAGGATTGCTTGAGCCCAGGAGTTGAAGACAAGCCTGGGCAACACAGCAAGACCCCATCTCTATACATTTTGTTTTTAATTAGGTAGATGTGATGGCATGTGCCTGTAGTCCCATCTACTCAGGAGGCTGAGGCAGGAGGATAGTTTGAGCCCAGGAGTTCAAGGCTGCAGGAAGCTACAATTATGCGATTGCATTCCAGCCTGCCACACACAGTGAGACCTTGTGTCTAATTTTGTGTGTGTGTGTGTGTGTGTGTGGTTTTTTTAACAGATTCTAAAACAGGAAGTCTTTTTACCTGGGAACAGCTGAGGATTTCACAAAACTAAACCCTCAGGGGGCAAAGGACCTGTGTCCTCCATAACAGAGTCACAAGTCCACAGAAGGACAGAGTGGTGCGGGAAGGTTCCCTCGAAATGGAAGGTCAGCTACCCCACTGGAGTTCCTCTGAAATGCTGGGGCTTCCCTCCCAGCCTTCTAAGAACTAGTGTAAAACTGACCTTCCAAAGAGAAGATGAAAAGGAGGGAGATGCAGCTATGGAAAAGTAGTCCAGCCCACACCCCCAGCGTCCACATGGCTGCAGTCAGGGCGAGCCGCCAGACACGGCTGCTCAGCAGGCTGAGGGGCCAGCAAGACAGCTTCATGCCTCGGGACACTGTTGACCCAGCCTGCAGCGACGGCGCTGCACGTTCAGCCGTGTACACAGGCCCCCGTCAGGGCCCCTGGCTCCAGAACCCTGCCTGGGCAGTGCTGCTGTCGGTCGAGGGACCACCCTTTGGAGCAGGCTGTCTCCCTGCTGGCCCTCACCCTTCCTTCTCTCCCACCTTCAGTTCAACCACCCTGTTTTTGGAGACTCTTCTCAGGGCTCACTGGACCCCTTTAGAATGGGTGATCCCCACTTTGTACAAAGGATGACAGCTACTGGTGGGTGGCATGAGAGAAGCCCCCTCAAGAGACCCCGTCCTCCTCTTTCATCTGTCCCCAGATCTCCCAGCACCGGTCCCCAATGGGCGATGTCCGTGCTTCCCTAACCTGGGCCCTCCCTTCCACACGCACTGTTTCCAGCCACACGCAAGAGCCTGATGAGTGTTACATGAACGAATGAACTGACAGAATGAGGATGACCGGCCGGTAAGTACTATGGGGTGTCTGGACTGGAAAACCATTCCGCAGACCACCAGCTATGCTGAAGTCACACCCAGGCACTGCAGCTGACCAGCCACCGGCTGAGGCCTCCCTGAAGTCCTCATTAAATGGCATGGGCATGGCATGGTGTCACTGGTTACGCAAGTCGCCTGGGTGTTAACACAGCT